GTGCACAAGGTAAACTCACTGTTCCTCGCAGACTCGGTGTACAGAAAGCACCCTCAGGGAAGGGGCGCAAGGAGGACTGGCTCTTCTCTGGAGTTGCCCAGAAAGGATGCAATCTGCTCAAGCCATGAGGTTAGTAAGTTGTCTGCACCAGCGCATGTCCCCTAGGCAATACTTCCTTCTAGCAGCCGTGCTCAGAGGATGGGCATTCCGGGAAGTGAGGACACCCCTGCTTAGAGTGACTGCTAAGGGTTACATAGACCTGGTTCGAGACCCGAGTGTGCCACCTCCTAGCTGGGAGACCTCGGACAAGTCCTTTAACCACATTTCATCTCAAGGTCCTCATTTGTAAAATGAAGACAATTGTATCTATCAAACAGGATCCATGACTAATTGGAGTATATTTTGTGTAAAGTTCTTAGTGGTATCAGATCCTTTTGGTTGCAAACAACAGAAATCCTCCTCCTTGTTTGTCCAGAAGGTAGAACACCTTTCTTCCTCTGCCGTTCAGGGAAGTCAGCTTGGTCCTCACTGGGCCAGTCCTGGAGGCTGCGCTGTGACTGCTGGAGCCTGCCTGTTCTTGTAACCCTGGTTGTAACAAGGACACTGGAATTATCTCAGTTGGATTCTAGTATGGACTTTAGACCAATCAGGGTTGCTACCCAAATCTTATGGGGAAGGTTGAAAAGATGTGGGAACAGCAATGTCCACCAGCGTAATGTTAACGCAAAAACATTCAACGCTGTGAAGAATTTCTGTGAGTTTATTTCAGCCAAACTGTCGACAATTGCCAGGAAGCAAAATCTCAACCGATTGGGATAATGCTCCAGAGAATGGCGGTTTTTCATCTATTTTTATACATTACAATCAGAGGAGAAGATGTAAGTGGGTGACATGAAAGCCATTGGTGATAGATTAGGGAGGTGGGAGGAAGCAAAGGGAGTGGGGGGACCTCTGGGGCTGGATAAAAAGTAGAATGAGAGAGACATGCTTCTTTTACTCAGGTGGTGCAGGATCCTTAACAGTCAGCAATTAACATGATACCAATAGCAGTGAAGGAATTTATGGTCTCTGTCCTGGCGCCCAGGGCATTTGGTTGTGCCCTGAGGGGGTCCAGAAAAAAAGTTACAAGTTACCCTGACATTTCACAGGGATGTTATCGTAGATGCAAAAGGACCATAGGCTCAGTTAAGGTAAAGAGTGACCGTGTCAGGGAAGACACCCATCTGGGCGGTGACTACCCACCACAGCTGCTTTTAGTTAAAGTTTAATTTCAGACCATCCTTGTGGTCACTTTAGGTGTGAGTTTGCAGGACCGCCACGCAGGCCTCCCCTGAGCTGTCAGGTTAGCATGTGGCCCCTTTCGTCCACAATAGGGAGTAGCAGGTACTCAATAAATTTTCTTCCCCGTTGCCCGTATTTCTTGTGCATCTGTCCCCAGCACTGGGGGAGGAATTTGCATGCAGTGGATGCTCTCAGGTGGACTGTGGATGAAAAAAAGCCACATGCTAACCTGACAGGCTCAGGGAGGCCTGCATGGCAGTTTTGCAAACTCAGACCTAAACCACAAAGGATGGTCTGAAATTAAACTTGAACTAAAAGCAGTTATGGTGGGTAGTCACCGCCCAGGTGGGTGTCTTCCCTGACACGGTCACTCTTCACCTTAACTGAGCCTGTGGTCCTTTTGCATCTACAATAACATACCTGTGAAATGTCAGGGTAACTTGTAACCTCCCTTTTTCCAGACTTCTCAGGGCACAACCAAATGCCCTGGGCGCCAGGACAGAGACCATAAATTCCTTCACTGCTATTGTTATCATGTTAATTGTTGACTGTTAAGGATCCTGCACCCACCTAAGTAAAAGAAGCATGTGTCTCTCATTTTACTTTTTATCCAGCCCCAGAGGTCCCCCCCCCCCTTGGCTTCCTCCCACCTCCCTAATCTATCACCAATGGCTTTCATGTCACCCACCTACGTCTCCTCCCTTGATTGTAATGTATAAAACGAAGTGAAAAGCCGCCATCCTCCGGAGCACTATCCCAATCAGTTGAGATTCTGCTTCCCGGCAATTGTTGACAGTTTGGCTCAAATAAACTCACAAAAATTCCTTACAGCGTTGAATGTTTTTACTTTAACAGGACCAAGGAACCCCACATTTCAAACATGAACTAGATTTCAAAAAGGAGGTTTTAGTCATTCACTTCAGCCTGAATTACCCAAGATAACAGTCCTTTTCTTTATTCTAAAGTGGGTAGCAAATTATGGGCTGAAAACACTGAAGATGGAGATCTCCGGCCGCCTCGGTCCCGCTGGCACCCGTCAGAGGCTGGTAAGAAGGCCGGCAGCAGCCACAACCTGCAGCGCCTTCCCCAGCGGGGAGGCCACGGTAGTCGGGGTTTGGGAGGCGGTGGTCTTCTCTCCCAGCTCCTCTCAGCCACAGTGGCAGCGGGTGTGGGGGAGAACTCTGTGAATGTACAGACATGGCTTCTGTTCTTCCTGCCAAACCTTGCCCCTCCGAGTGGGGCTGCTCTTGGGGGATAAATCCTGCTGGAGGAAAAGGGAACCCCTTAGGTGCTGCTGAAATGACCAGGCGGTGGGAGGACACACAACCAGGCACTTGGAAGATTCAGAAAAGGCACGTTATTGCAGGAGCACCGGTGCTGCTGGCTCAGGGGAATCGGTTCCCAAAGCTGAGCCCCGAATGCAGCGGGGCTTTCTCTTAAATTGCCCTAAGTTTCTTTGTCTCTCAGCTTCCGGGTTTTTCACGGGCTTTTGCAGCCCCTATGATGGTTGTAAGGGGGAAGTGAGATTATGACCATCGCCCTGGCTGGCGCCAGCAGTCAAGCCCCCTGTGGGGGCTGTGCATGATCGATGGCCCTGTAAGTTAAGTGTTTAGGGAAACAGGTTTTGCAAGGCTGGGGCACAAGCGGGAAGGGGGTTGGGGCTGAATTATAGGTTAGCATAGGTGCCAGAATGCCGACTCAAGCTGCCAGCCCAGTTGCCTTCACACAGGGGGCTGAGGCCACGCTCAGGTTAGAGGGGCTCCCTGCAGTGAGCGTCAGAGATGGTGCTGAGCACACAGGCGGAGGCTGGCATTCTCACCAGCAGGGACTCTGGCCCCAGAATTGATGCTGGTGCTGCCAGGATGGTGGGGGCAGGGTCCTCACGGGAGGTGAGGGTTCTAGTCTCTATTTTCTACATTTGGGCTCTTGTGTTCTCATTGGAACAAGCACATTTAGTACAAAATGAAAATCTAAACGTGCTTTGTTAAAGACCCCATTTTCTCTCCTTGCCCTTTTCTACAACACGAGAGGCCCAGTGCACGAAATTCGTGCAAGGGGCTCTGCCTTGCAGCTGCAGCAGCTTGCCTCAGCCCTCGCAGCCCCAGCTTTGTCCAGGAGGTTGTTTGGCTGTCCAGTCTAATTAGCATATTACGTGTTTATTATTATAGATTACCAACAAGAGGTACCCATAATGCTAAAAATAGCCACCAAATTCAAAATCATCCAACAGAAAAAATTTTTAAAGGAGTTTAATCATGCTGTCCCCCTCTCCATCCAAGGTCACCTTTTAGTTTGAAATTTATGGACCTCCCATCCTACCATGAGGAGTTTTCTGCTTTAAAATTCAGAGATAGGCCTGGCCAGAGTGGCTCAGTTGTTGAGCATCAACCTATGAACTGGGAGGTCACAGTTCGATTCCCAGTCGGGGCACGTGCCTGGGTTGCAGGCTCGATCCCCAATGTGGGGCATGCAGGAGCAGCCAATTAGTGATTCTCATTGTTGATATTTCTATCTCTCTCTCCTTCTCCCTTCCTCTCTGAAATTAAAAATATATATATATTTTTTAAAATGTAGAGATACTGTATTTGTTATAGTGACCACAGTGACCACATTTGCCTCAGTACCATTACCCCCAATTCCCCATTCCGTCCTAGAACCATACATCTAGTAATAGAATAAAGGAAACGCTTTAAAACAAACAAACAAAAATGTATGCTTAACAATGTTTGGGAAATTACTAACACAGAGGACTATCTTAGAGGGTGATGGGATATGAAGAAAAGTGATGGGAATTTGCCTTCACTTGCGTTAATCCAGGGGGTGCTGGGACACATTCAGTGGACACCCCGGGAAATGGGAGCGTACGTCATGTGCCTGAAGAAGGTGGTGAGATGCTGTGTCCAGAGGCTGCAGTGGCTGCTATCTGGTGAGCCAACCTGCTGTCCTGGGGGTAGAGGGGAGGGGAAGAGGAAGGCAACCTCAGGGCCAGGCCTTCCTAGGCCAGGCACTCACACACTGTCAGGTGTGGGATTAGGCAGGAGGGTCGTCAGGTACAGCATGACTTCTGGGTTCAGAGGTCTGGCAAGGTGCTGGATGATAGGGAGGTGGAGCAGGGGCCAAAGAGCCCCAGAGGGGGCCCAAGTCTGTCCACGTGAGTTCTGCAGGGCCAGCTTCCACACCTTGCCTCCCTGGGTGTGACCAAGGGATGACCATCAAGAGGTTCAATTTATTTTTTTAAAGGAGGTGATATATATATATATATATAAAGGAAGGAGGGAGGGAGGGAGAGAGAGAAATATTGATGTGAGAGAGACACGTTGATCAGCTGTCTCCTGCATAAGCCCCAACTGGGGATCAAACCCGCCACCTTTTGGGGTTCGGAACAACGCTCCAGCCGACTGAGTCACACCAGCCCAGGTTCCGATTAGTCTTGGTTGGGCCCCATAGAACTTCCCATGAAGGCAGAGATGGGAGGGGGTCCTGACAGAAAAGTCCCCAAGAGTCCACGGCCCTCTGTGATAAGTGATGGCAGGAGAGCCAGGCTCATACCCCAGAGGAGGGTGTGCTGGGTGAGGAGGTGGACTGAGCATCAGGCCCAGGAGGCCAGGAAGACACTAGAACTAGAGGGGGGAGGGTAGGCTCGCGGCCTGTGGTTCCCGGGGCAATAGGAAGAAGGCAGGCAGGAGCCTTACAGAGAGCCCTGTGGGGCCCTCAGTCCCTGTGGAATCCACCGGCCAGTCCTCTGGGCAGGCCCTGGGCAGTGGTGTAGTGATGACTACCACTGTCCAAAGACTCCAGAGAGGCCATGGCTAGCGGTTGCCTCAAAGTGTCTATCAGAGGACCCGGGTGTGAACCTCAGCTGTCACTGCCAGTCCAGGTGGCCCTCTCTGTTTCCCATGAGATAAATCCCCAATCCATGAACCACCTCTCCAGCTTCCTCTCTTGTCCATCTCCCCGTGGGTCTCTGCTCAGCCTTTGTTATCCCACACATTGGCGTTCTCTCTGTCCCTCAAGCCTTCAGTCATAATTGGTCTGCTTCCCACCCACATCCCTCTAACTCAGATCTCCACGTTATGGGCTGCACTAACACTGTCAGAAGCCACCGCACAGCTCTGTCTGTGCAACGCCTGTCTTCCGTGCCTCTCTCTCGCTCACCGTTGCACTTGCACAGTACCAGGCGCTAAAGGACGCGGAGCTGATTTCTGTTGGTCGGTCGGTGGACTTTGCTCTGTAATATCTTTTCCGGACCAAACAATACTGAGGTGCTACTGAGTCCAATCCCTTAACTCAAGGCCAGGGCAGTTATAACCACTTGAACAAGTGGTCACAGGCAGAGCCGCAGCCAGACCACCGGCCGCTCTGCCCTAGGACAGTCCACCCCTCCAACAACACAGAGGCCCTCTCCCAGTGGGTTGACATCTGATCGAGGATCAATCAGGCAACAGGTGTTACAAGATCATGAATTGGGCAGCCACAGAGAGGAAAGGCTGCCGGAGGGGTGAGCCCTGACTCCTTCCCTGCCTCTGCCCCAACCCACCTGGCACAGGGAGCCGCCGACTGTTCGGCACCATTTTGGAGAAGAGAGTGTGCATCCTGCTGGACACCTCGGGGTCCATGGGCCCCGACCTGCCGCAGGTGAAGACAGAGCTGATTCTGCTGATCTGGGAGCAGCTGAGAAAGCACTGTGACAGGTGAGAGGCCGGGGTGTGGGGCCGGAAGAAGACCGAAGGGGTAGTTCTGGGCGTCCCCGGCCAAGGGCACGCCCTCCTCGCTGTCCCAAGGGCCAGGTCGTCTCTGAAGTGCCCTAATGAAGAGCTTGTTGGGGCAAGAGAGCGCTGGATTCCCCGGGGAGTGAGGCGGATTCTAGGAACCTGCTCAGGCCCAGGCAGTTGCACGCAGAGGAAAGGACCGCCTTGAACTGCATCTCACTGAACTTGATTTCCAGGGGTGGAGGCAGGTGTGTCCCCTCTACTCTGAAGGTTTGACCGTAAGGGGACAGCAGGAGGCTGGTCCGAGGCTGGGACTCACTCTGGCCTTAATGGTAAAAAGAGGAAACTTTATTGAGCACTTACATTCATGGTTCCACTCCATCGTCCCAGTGACCTGAGGCAGGGTGATTAGCCCCATTTTTCAGAAAAGGAAGCTAGGACTTAGGTTAAATTTCTCTGAGATCATATAACCTGCAAGTGGCTGAGGGGGTGTTTAAATTTGCTTCTGTCTGCGCCCAGCGCCTCACTGTGTGCCTGCTTATCCTCGGGTAGTCACAGCCCTCTCCCCCAGGCCCTGGCAGACGTCTTTGCGAAGGTTACTTCACCGAATTCAGTATAGACGGGCCCTTCTAACCAACCTCTTCCTCCCTCCCCAGCTTTAACCTCATCGGCTTTGCAGAGGACCTGCAGCTGTGGCAGGACTTTCTGGTGGAGACCACAGACGCGGCGTGTCACGAGGCCACGCAATGGGTGACCCACCTGCGTGCTCAGGGCAGCACCTCAGTCTTGCCAGCGCTACTGGCAAGTTACACCCCTGAGCCTGACCTGGTAGCAAAGAGGAAATAGCACCACCCTATACACAGACCTGGCCTGATACTTTAGGACTTGCTAAGTGTTAAATCACATGATCTTCCCAACAACCAGAGAGAGGGGTTCCTGTTGCACAGGCTCAGCACGGTGACTGACCTGCTGGGTGGAGAGCCAGGAGTGCATGTGCCTGTCCTGTCGGTGGTGGACTGAGGGGGAGCCTGGGGAACAGTAGGCCGTGGTTCCCCTACGGTTGGCACCCAGCCCTGAGCCACACACCCTGCGTGCTCTTGCAGAAGGCGTTCAGCCTTCGCGATGTGGAAGGGCTGTACCTCCTGACCGACGGGAAGCCGGACACAAGCTGCAGCCTGATTCTACGTGAAGTCCGAAGGCTCACAGAGGCGCACCACGTGAAAGTGCACACCATTTCCCTGAGCGGCGCAGGCAGGTGGGGCTCCCGCAGACTCGGTCCCGCGGGCCCAGTCCCAGGAGCCAGGCACCGGGAGGGCCGGGCAGGAGCACAGCGAGGCCACCCTCAGCCCGCCCAGCAGGGGCCTGGCTGCAGTGAGGGCCTGCACAGACTCCGCGGCCACCCTGCACTTCTCCCCATTTATGAAGATTTAGAGGAAAAGGTTTAAAATAGCACTGTTGTGATTGTCATTATAAATGTTCACCAAGAAAAACATGTGTTAGACAGGAGAATTTAAGTGCTTCAGAAAAATTGTTAATAGTATTGGTAAAATTTGATTATTTAATACTAGCGGCCCGGTGCATGAAATTCGTGCACGGGGGAGGGGGTGTCCCTCAGCCCAGCCTGCACCCTCTCCAATCTGGGACCCTTCGGGGGATATCTGACTGCTGGTTTAGGCCTGTGGGATCGGGCCTAAACAGGCAGTCAGACATTTCTCTCGCAATCTGGGACCGCTGGCTCCTAACCACTCACCTGCCTGCCTCTCTGATTGCCCCTAACCCCCCTGCCTGCCAGCCTGATTAACCCCAACTGCCCCCCCTTCCAGCCTGATCACCCCCAACTGCCCCCTTCTGCCGGCCTGCTTGCCCCCAACTGCCCTCCCCCCCGGCCTGCTCGCCCCCAACTGCCCCCCCCTGCCAGCCTGCTCACACCCAAATGCCTTCCCCTGCCAGCCTGATCACCCCTAAGTGCCTCTGCCTCGGGCCCACCACCATGGCTTTGTCCGGAAGGTCTCTGAGAAGGTCTCCCAGTCTAATTAGCATGCTACCCTTTTATTAGTATAGATGTGATTACTTAGGTGTGTATTTTATTTCTGTGTCTAAACTATGAGCTCCATAAAGGTCACACTGTGTGGCTGGCAGGCCTAACACATAGTAAGCACTGGATGGAGGTCCAGTTAGGAAGAGGGCTGAAGTATGCCAGCCGTGTGCCTTGAGGAGTCCAGTCTAAATGACGGCACCATCACGGTGAATCCGCTTCCCGGGCCACAGCCGCTGCACCGGCCAAGACTGGCTGGGAGAGTGGGCTCGGTGATGCTGACACCGCCTCAAGGGCCCAGAGCCTCAGGGTCTGAGGCCCATTGCCCTGCAGACTTCTGTACCAGGACCCACCACTGGGGTCCCAGGGCAGGGCCTGGTGGCTCAGTGGTCTTGTCCCCGGCCCTCTCTGTTCCTCCCTCTAGGGCGGAGGGTAACTTCCTGAGGAGCCTGGCCTCCCTCACTGGGGGGCGCTATCACTGCCTTGTTGGTGAGGACCTGGTCTCCCACATTCACCGCCTGCTCAAGAGCTTCCTGCATGACCGGGTAGGCTGTGGAGCCACTGAAATGGCTCAGTAATGTTAGCGGACATGGCTGTTACCCCTCACTGCGGAGGCCCTGCATCTCTTGCCAAAGGACTGGCGACAAAGGCTGTGCCTCCCTGCTGCTCTCCTCTTAGGCGGCTCTCCTCAAGGTTGGCAAAGAAGCAGCGTTTCAGGTGCTATTTAATGACACAACAGTTTGCATTATTGAGCACTTACTAGACACAGGTCGTTGCTTTTTATAGATAACCTCTTCTACTCTCCCCAGCCAGTCCTGGCCTTTCACAGGAGAGGAAGCAGGCTCAGCCAGGCCTGGGAACAGCCCGAAGTCAGAACAATGTGAAGGAGCTCAGACGCCCTCCCCACCCTCACTCCCCCACCCCCACCCTGTGTTCCTGAGCGCTGGGCTTTGATTCCCACATATTTCTGTCTCCCTGGGTTAGAGTCACTGAAACAGATATTCAAATGACCTGGTAAATAATAAATCTGTCAAAGTCACGGGTTCCATCACACATGGGACAAGAGGAAGACATCAGTGGTCCTCTTCCAATCGAACAGAAAAAGTGTGCACATGTTTCTACCTTTTAGAACATGCCACTGTCAATGATCACATTTCCAAATGATCAAGTAACACAACCAACCAGAATTCCAGATTTCTTTCTGGAAGTTAGATCACTGCCCCAGGCCCTGGCCAGTGTGGCTCACCATTGGTTGAGCATTGTCCTGGGCACTGAAGGGTCGCAGGTTCGATTCTTGGTCAGGACACATACCCAGGTTGCAGGTTTGATCCCCAGTCAGGGTGTGTGTGGGAGGCAACCAATGGATGTTTCTCTCTCACATCGATGTTTTTCTCTCTCTCCCTCTCCCTTCTTCTCTAAAATCATTTTTTTTAAATAGAAGATTACTGTACCAGGACATGGCATATTTTTAAAATATATATATTTCTTTTATTGATTTCAGAGAGGAAGGGAGAGGGAGAGACAGACAGAAACATCAATGATGAGAGAGAATCATTGATCGGCTGCCTCCCGCACACCCCCCACTGGGGATCGAGCCCACAACTGCAACCTGGGCATGTGCCCTTGGCCGGAATCGAACCTGGGACCCTTCAGTCTGCAGGCCGACACTCTATCCACTGAGCCAAACCGACTAGGGCCATGGCATACTTTTTGAAGTCAAGTGTTTTGCATGATTTCTTTGTTCAAGTGACTGCTTTAGGGCCAAATATTACAAGTAATACAGAGGACAGCACAAGTAAAAGTAATGAATGCCCTTATTACACAGGAAAATGAACTTAATGTCGTGAAGGTCCTCAGTTCAGTGTCTTATCAAATGAGACTTTGAGTGAGTTTGTGGGTATGGAATGGGCTCATCCCACGACTCCTGCCAGCATCTCTCTGAGTCTCTGGCTAACTGTGAGAACTTTCCTTTTAAGGCGAGGCTTTGGAATTTCATTGGTTGACAGAAGGAAAAGCATGTCTGGGAAGCTCTGATTTATTACAAGAAATCGAGAAAGGGCTGAATAGATGCTACTGTGTAACAGTGAGATCAGGAGCCCCTGCTGCTTCTGTTCTGTTGACTTCAGTGAAGTCCAGAGACCGCCTCGATTTCCACTACCCTCCCTCCACGGCCTCTCAGACATCTTCTGGCAAAATGTCCTGTTTGCAGAATGACCCCCTTAAGCAGTGGCGAGCTCCCTGTCCCTGGAAACATGCAGGTGGGGTTCGCAGCTGTCCTGCACTGGGTGGGAGACTGCGTTAATTAGCTCTAAAATTCTCCTGCTGAGATTTTGGATTTTCGTGTCCCATCTAGTCACTTAGTGGGTCTAACTTAACACTCATTTCCCATTTCCAAGGACTCCATGCTGCCACTGTTTGAAGGAGATGATTTAAGGAGACTGGCCCAGGAGGTCACCGCGGCTAGGAGCCTCCTCTGGCAAGCCCAGTCACTCAGGTATGCCCTTCAGCAGCCCCTCCCACGCCATGTGGCTGCAGTCCTCCCGCCCTGGGCATGCGCCCTTGTCCCAAGAGCTCCTGCTTTGCTTCTCTCCACCCGGCCCAGAAATCTGAGCATGGGGAACCCCATTCCTTCATTCCTGTCCACTAGGTCCCAGCTCCAGAAGAAAAACTATGCGGAACCTAAGGTCGCTCTTTCTAGAAAAGCCTTCTCGGGTAAGGGGGACGGACTCCACGCCGTCTGCGTGCCTACCAAGGGCCAGGAAGCTGCTCTGTTCCATGGACAGCAGGATTACGGGAAAGAATAAATAACAAGTCCTCTAAACAGAAAGGCCATCCTACAAAGAACCACCAACTGAGCACATCATGACCCTGAGGGTTAGGTGCCTGGAGAGCTGTGGCCCCCCCTTCGCACCTCCCCTGTTCTGGGCACCAGGTTCCCTGGAAGCTGGGGGAAAGGCTCTGCCATCCCAGATCTACACTAACGCTCCTGCTCTGGCCCCAACCACCCCACACTCCAGTCACAAGATCGTCACTTGCTGGGAAGCCCTACACCAGGCTCCTTGCCTGGAATGTCCATCTTGCCGCCCTCTGCTTGGCGACTCCTGCTCATCCCTCAAAGCACAGCTCCAGTGGCATCCGCTTCACTCTGAAGATGTCCCTGGGACCCAGCAGGACTTGGGAGCCTCCAGCCTTACCCCCCCCCCCCCCCCCCCCCCCCCCCCCCCCAACCCGTAGCATCCTGACCAAAACGTCCCTCTCTGTAGAGGCGACACCGCTGCCTACAGCTCGCACTCCACGCCATGCTTCCTTGTTTCCTTGTCAACTCGTCTCCTCAACCAGGCGCGCTCAGCCTGAGGCTGCTGTCCTGACCCTCCCCGGGCCCAGAACTGCCGCGTGGCGCACAGGCAGTAACACTGAGCGCGAAGCTAGTGTGGGAGCCCAGTTCTGGAAACCAGAGGCCAGTCCTGGTCCCCTCGCTCTGTGCTTCCCACCACCCCGGCCCAGGGGGATGCAGATTCGCTGCCAGCCCATCCTGGGAGAAGAAACGTGAGCCTCATTGCCACCCCTTCCAGCTGAACCAAATTGAGCAGGTCCGCCTGGGAGCCTGTCACAGCATGTGAGAGCTTAGTGGGGTCTGCGGGGCCGCCTAGTGCATATGAAATGAATGGCATGTATTATGTGACCTGGGGTCATTTTCTAAGTCAGAAAAAGTTGCCTTTATTTAATTAATAAGATCAAAATTACTTTCGAACTCAAGTGATTATTGGTACGGGTGTGTGTATAAAATTTTGGTGAGATAAAACTTTATTAAAAAATTCATTCAGAATATATGAAGAATTACAAATCAATAAGAAAAAGATAAACATCCCAATTTTTCTAAATGGACAAAAGACTCAAACAGGTACAAATGGACAATAGGTATATGAAAAGGAGCTCAACAACCTTACCCAGTGAAATGCAAACTAAAACCACAAGGAGACACCACTACACACCCACCATGGCTGAACATAAAAATACAATATCAAGATATAGGGCAATCAGAGCTCATGCATAGCTGGAGGCGAGGTGTAAATTGGTTTAACCCAGGGGTGGGCAAACTTTTTGACTCGAGGGCCACAATGGGTTCTTAAACTGGACCGGAGGGCCGGAACAAAAGCATGGATGGAGTGTTTGTGTGAACTAATATAAATTCAAAGTAAACATCATTACATAAAAGGGAACGGACTTTTTTTTTTTTTTTAGTTTTATTCATTTCAAACGGGCTGGATCCAGCCCGCGGGCCATAGTTTGCCCAGGGCTGGTTTAACCACTTTGGAAAACTGTAGCGATTCCTATTAAAGTAAAAAATATATGAACTCCAGCAATTCTACTCCAAGAGAAATCAGTGCACGTGATTTCTTTGACAAAAGACATATTCAAGAATGTTTTATAGCAGCTTTATTTATAGAAGCCAAATATTGGAAACAGCCCAGCCAGTGTGGCCTAATGGTTGTCAAGCCACGAACAGAGTTCACCGGTTCAATTCCCGGTCAGGGCACATGCCCGGGTTGCGGGCTCGATCCCTAGTCAGGGACATGAGGAGGCAGCTGATCAATGTCTCTCTCTCATTGAAGTTTCCATCTCTCTCTCCCTTCCTCTCTCTCTAAAATCAATAAAAACATATTTTTTAAAAATATATTGGAAACAATGTAAATGTCCATCCATGTGACACATTTGTAGAGTGGAATACTGTCCTACTTGTCAATTGAAAAAGAATGAATGACAGCTGTAGTCAACAAGACGCATCAATCTTTTTCTTTTTAATTGATTTGAGTGGAAGTGAAGTGGGGGAGGGGGAGGGGGAGAGAAACATGGACTTGTTGTTCCACTTATGCACTCATTGGTTGGTTCTTGTATGTGCCCTGACTGGGGAGCAAACCTGCAACCTTGGTGTGTCCGGATGATGAGCTACCCAGCCAGGGCCAAGACACGTCAATCTTATGAACGATATTGGGGGGGAAACAACCTGAAAGAGAACACACTGTGGAATTCCACTTATATGAGGTCAAGTACAGGCAAAACTATTGCTGGCAGGAGAAGTCAGAAGAGTGGCGCTTTTGGGGGGTGGGGGGAGGGGCAGGCACCCGGGTCACCCAGGGGCCTCTGGTATGCTGGAAGGTTCTATATCTCGACCTGAGTGTTGGTTACATTGGTGCATATATAAGAGCTCATCACGTGTTAAAAACCAGGTTGCTAAGGCTTGACAAGCCTTGGCCTTGGCCAGGCTCGGTGGCCCAGGCAGAAGGCACTGAACCGGGCCTGACACAGTGGGTCCCGTCTGGTCACTGTCTTGGACGGACCCCCTGTGACACCTGTGACGCAGAGAGCAGGCTGTGGTGGTGGCACTTTGCTAGAGTTGCCATAACGAAGTACCATAAACCCGCAACAGAAACCACGGACAGGTACCAGCAGTGCCTCCCGCCAGAGGCCGCGGGATGAGGTCGGGCCCAGCAGGGCTGAGCTCCCTCGGAAGGCGCTGGGCGGGTCTGGGCCAGGCCTCTCCGGGTGCCAGTCCTCCCTGGACTGCGGCAGCGTCTCTGCAGCCTTACGCGGTGCGCACCCGGGGCGCGTCCTTGTCCGAGTCCCTTTTCCTGAGGACATCGGTCTGCTGCTCAGCCCCTCGTCTGCAGTTACGTCTGCGAGGGGTCTCCTTCCAGCGGAGGTCTCCTCCGAGGCCTGGGAGCTGGGGTTCAGCATGGGAGTGGGGGGGGGGGGACAAGCCAACCCGAAGGGCTGTGTGGTAGACTGCCCGGCCTGCTGTGGGCGAGGAGGGCGCTGCCTTTGTGAACAGAGGGCGGCCCAGACACGGTGTGCGGATGGGCAGCCCTGACGGTGCGCACCCTGCCTCTGCGGTAGAACAGCCTCCGGGCGCTGACGCTGTTAGCTTCCTGCCCAGCTGGCAGCCAGGGGCCTGGCGCACGGCGGCAAAGGACACAGCGGGTCCCTGAGGAGGAGGCAGCGGCCCT